GCGAAGTAGACGCTGTCCTTGTCCAGGACCAATGATTCACCCCTGTAACGGCGATCGCCCGAGACCAAATCCAACCCCCGAGACGATTACAGGTCACTTGCTCTCAACAGTGCAAATTGAGGTCTGTATTGATATTTAAGCCTATACCGGCCTGGGTTTCTACCTTCTATGTCTTTCATCTGCTAAATCCCTTACCAGGCTCGGCTGCATGTCCCTTCTTCCCTTGACCCATCATCCCAGCTGTGTTATCTTCAGATCCACCGGATATATGACGTAATCATCATGGTCACCCTATTATGGGTACACTCATCCGGATCCAGGTCGCTTGGATCCACCTCACTGTAATGGTACACTCGCCGTGGATCCGAGCTCTCCAATCATCCAACATCATCTCGCAACCGTCTGTGATCTCCGTTGTCCCACGAAAGTTCGAGATCCACTGTATCCCTCATCCCTATACCCTGGATCCAGGTACCTCCAGGCGGGATCCTCCCTCCTTGAATACGAACTCAGAAGTATGGGATCCGGGGTACCTCGCGGTGGATCTTGACTCTTCATTAGCCGTGGCTACTAGATCCACCGTCAGAGGGCACCGACCATCCTTCCTTCATAGGATCCACACTCGATCCACTCTTGTATAGTATATCCCATATCCATCTTAGTGAATCCAGGTAAGGGTGGATCCGAGGTAAGTCTTGGTGGATCTTGCCTTCTCGTACATCGCTCATATCAGATCCATCGTCATTCCATACGGGGTGCTGCTCGCCATGGCTAATCCACCACAGGCAACTTGCACCCGTGCCAAACAACCCAAATCCTCTATAATCACTTGAAATTGTCACTGATTCGGGATAGTGACCCCGCGTCAGGACCATTCTCTTATTTCTGAGAAAGCACTTCACCACAATCGCCTCCTGTACGTGGTCGGCGCTGCACAACAGCGTCCACGACGTGCATCACCAGCATCCACAACCGCTTTCTCCCCTTCGCGACACATGTCTCCCGCCAAGCGTACCGGCAAATCGTCGGGCAAGGTCCCATCCACCACACCTCCGGTCAGTCCGTCTTCCATGTCGCCCACCGATCTGCGGGTTCTAGCCCAGGCTCTTTCCGATCAGGTGCAAACCCTGACGGCGGAGCTCCAGACGGCTCAAGATGCCCAAGACCAAGCTGCGTCTCTACACACTACCCAACTTCAGACCTTGCGGGCCCAAATCCATGACCAAGCGATGGAGATCCAGGGGTGGGAGCACCGTGCGGCCTCTCGGTCGCAGGACCTGCGACTCCTGTTGGCTGATCAGGCGGTCGAGATCCGCGACCTGACCGGACGGTTGGATCGCGCCTCCCGACAACGAGACGTTATGCGAGATGACAACGACCATCTCTTTAG